ACTGTCCTCCTAGAACTCATGTGGAAATTGGATCTCCAATGTGGCAGTGTTGGAAACTGACTGAGTCATGGGATGGATCCTGCATGAATGGATTAATGCTCTCCTTGGGGGGGGTGGGAATAGTGAGTTCTTGTCCTATTAGTTCCTGTGAGAGCTGGGATTTTTTTTTTTTTCCTTTTTGTCTTTTTTACTGACCGGTAACGGCATCGCAACCCTCGGTGTCGCGCCCGCACGGGGGACCGGCAACGGGATCACAACCCTCGGTGTTGCACCCGCACCGCGCTCAGCCAGCGAGCGGGAACGGGTCTCCACATGGGATCCGAACCCTCGGCGGGAGCGCCGCCACACTCTCAAGCGGCGCACTCTCCAGTGCGCCACCCGGCTGGCGCAGAGCTGGTTTTTTAAAAGACTCTGTTACCTCCCCCATCTCTCTCTCTTGCTTCCTCTCACCATGTGATCTGATTGTACCCACCAGGTGCCTGTTGCTTTCTGCCATGAGTAGAAGCAGCCTGAGGCTCGTGGCAGATGCAGCTGTCCCAGAATTGTAAGCAAATAAACCTCTGTTCTTTATAAATTACCCAGTCTCAGGTATTCTGTATAGCAACACAAAACAGACTAATACATATGATATCCATAGAGATTTATAGTCAGCATAGCCATTAACCCACAAGTATGTTTTAATTTATCAAACAAATATATTGCTGGGTATTTTCTACAAGTAGCACTGCAAATAGTAAAATATTACAATGGAAGACATAATTATACTTTCTACCTTAAAGAAACATATAACCAGACAAGATTGAATATTTAGCACATGAAATACACCCAGTGCAAATGAGGAACTAAATTTTTTGTTTTATTTCACTGTAATTAATTTAAACTTCGGTGTAGTCACATACTGCTAGTAGTCACTCCATTGGACAGTACAGATTCAGATTACTAAAACAGATTGAAAATGCTATAGTTATTTGAAAGAGAGAAATCAAAGATACTTGAAAGAAGCCAGAGAAAGTTATACAGAAGATATAATTTCTACTGAACCTTAAATAATAGAAATGATTAGCTTAGATACAAAACTTTGAAAGTCCTAGAAGTGGGGATCACACCTTCTTTACAACTTACTCCCTAGGTCAAGTGTAGTGTCTGACAACTAGTAGATGCATAGGCCATTTGTTGCAATATTAATGAATGAATAAACTGCAGGAAAACAGGGAGCTCCTATTTTAAACAAGGCAGTATAGTATTGAGAATGATATTTTAGCAGGATAAATTTGGCAATACTTAGTATTTAAGGCAGATTTGATAGAGAAGAATGTAAACTCAAGAAAAAAATTTAGCAATCCATAAGTATCACGAAATTCTGTGATAAATGTATAAATAAAAAGGGGTAGTTATGAACAGTACCACTGAGTAAATCATAAAATTAACTTGATGAGTGGATGTCAGGATTACTTAAAGCAATTCCAAAATTTCTATTCTTTGTGACAGAAAATGATGCCATTGAGAAATATGAAGAAATTGAGTGAAAGAGAAAGGGAGGGAGAAGGAGAGAGAAANGAAACTGACTGAGTCATGGGATGGATCCTGCATGAATGGATTAATGCTCTCCTTGGGGGGGTGGGAATAGTGAGTTCTTGTCCTATTAGTTCCTGTAAGAGCTGGGTTTTTTTTTTTTTTCCCGCACTGCGCTCAGCCAGTGAGCGGGAACGGGTCTCCACATGGGATCCGAACCCTCGGCAGGAGCGCCGCCACACTCTCAAGCGGCGCACTCTCCAGTGCGCCACCGGGCTGGCGCAGAGCTGGTTTTTTAAAAGACTCTGTTACCTCCCCCATCTCTCTCTCTTGCTTCCTCTCACCATGTGATCTGCACCTTCTTTACAACTTACTCCCTAGGTCAAGTGTAGTGTCTGACAACTAGTAGATGCATAGGCCATTTGTTGCAATATTAATGAATGAATAAACTGCAGGAAAACAGGGAGCTCCTATTTTAAACAAGGCAGTATAGTATTGAGAATGATATTTTAGCAGGATAAATTTGGCAATACTTAGTATTTAAGGCAGATTTGATAGAGAAGAATGTAAACTCAAGAAAAAAATTTAGCAATCCATAAGTATCACGAAATTCTGTGATAAATGTATAAATAAAAAGGGGTAGTTATGAACAGTACCACTGAGTAAATCATAAAATTAACTTGATGACTGGATGTCAGGATTACTTAAAGCAAGTCCAAAATTTCTATTCTTTGTGACAGAAAATGATGCCATTGAGAAATATGAAGAAATTGAGTGAAAGAGAAAGGGAGGGAGAAGGAGAGAGAAAGGAAGAAGAGTACAGACATGGGAAGATGTTGAATGTGATTTTATATACGTTACTTTTGTTGGGAGTGGCCAGAAAAGGAAACAGATTTTTTAAAGCTATCCAAATAAAGGTAATAATTGAAACTAAAAAAGATGGTAAAGAACATTTATCCCATCTCTTAAGGGAATATCTATGGGAAAGAATATTTAATGAAAAAAGGAATATGGTGATCCCTAGAATCCAACAGAATTGTACAAAAAACAATTTGGCAATCCTCTTCTCCTTTTCATGGAGGATGATTATGAAGTAATAAGCTTAAGGGAATATCTATGGGAAAGAATATTTAATGAAAAAAGGAATATGGTGATCCCTAGAATCGTACAAAAAACAATTTGGCAATCCTCTTCTCCTTTTCATGGAGGATGATTATGAAGTAATAAGCTAAAAAGAGTTATTTAACAAAAAGTATCTGATTTCACCAAATTATTTAGAGATCTTCCCATGCTGTTGTGGAACAAATGGACATCACAATGAAGACTGGGAAAAAGTAGGTTAAACCAGCTTAGCAAGTGGAACAACTGTATCTGAAGTTTTGGTCAATAATTCTATGCTACTCTGAAGAAAAAAAATACAATGCACCAACGGTTCCAGTTCTCAATACTTTTATCTTGGAGAAAAAAAGGCATACTGATCAAATGTGCAGATGACACTAAGCAACGAGAAATAGTTAATGTGAATGATATATTTAAACTGACCTGGATATTTTAGAAATCTAGTTTGAAATAAAATGAAACCTAAAAGAAATAACAGTAAAGTCCTGAATTAAAAGTAATAGTTGCATTAAAGTATGGTAAAAAGAAATCTTAACTTGGCAGAACTGTATGTGATAGGGGGTCCTTTAAATTGATAACAAACTCAATATGAGTCAAGGTCAAGAGGCCGCTGCTAAAAATCCAACCCATTATTATGCCTCATTAACAGAAGCATTGTGCTTTGGGGCTGGTCACGCCATTATTCTGGAAAACTGTGTTTAGTACTGGATTCAACATTTTAAAAGGAATAATGACAAGTAGGAAACAGAGTAGAGATGACAGTAAATGGGACAGTGATGAATCTTAAAATTAAGCTATATAAAGAATGGCTGAAAAACTGGGGCCAATTAACCTTAATAAGAGACAGCTCAAAGAACCGATGATCATTATCCTCAAATGTGTGAAGAGTTATTAAGTAGAAGAGGGTATAGATTTGTTCCAGAGAGAAGAGCTGGGTTCACTAAAGTACAGAAATGATTAAACTCAAAACAACAAACAACATTTTAACAACGAAAGCTGTCCTAGTAGAACAGGTTGGTGGTTCAGTGTTATACCACTGAAAATTGAGCAGAACATATCAATGGTTCTCAAAAGCCAAGATAAAAAAATATAGGTTTATGGGTCCTATTGTTGGAGATTCTAATTCAATGTACTTGGGTGGAGGTTTGTTTTTCATTTTAAAATTCCTCACTGAATGCTAATACACAGCCAGTTTTAAGAAACGCCATGCTAAATGACCTTTCAATTTTACAAATATTTATGGAAAGCATACTCCATTCACAGGTACTTCAAAAAGTTTGTGGAAAAATGGATATGAATCTTTCCATGAACTTTCTGAAGATCCTTCATATAAAGCACCATTCTAGACATGGTTTGACATGACGTTCTATTGTCAAAAAACAAAATGTTATTGGTAAGACATACACACAAACCTAACAGTAATATAAGGTAGGCATGGTCATCTTTTATGACTGATAATGGTATCTCAAATTTGAGTAACTAGTTACTAATTCATTAAAATTGGTTTATTAACTGTACCTACACCATGTGATAACACATAAATATTTGTTGATTTGATTTGGGTAAGTGGTAGGATTAAGTATCTCCTACAGTCTTTCTAATGCTCTTTCTAAAGGTAAAGAGGGCCAAAGACTGAATCTTAGTGAATATCCAGTTAAGGGGCAGAAAAAAACAGAGAAGAAAGAAAAAAGCATGACAGTTATACTTGGCAAAGCTTGAAGGGGATTCACAACCATTCCATTTTCTTTTACTTTTTCTTTCTTCCTTTCCTTCCTCCCTTGAGATAATGCTCATTACGTATACAGACACTTACATGTGCAAGTGCTAACAATGCAATCTTTTAGGCAATAAAAGTTCCTGAGAACAGGTAAGGGAATTGTCTACTGTGGCTCTCTTAATATTAGGTATCTTTGCAAACTGGGTGTGGATAGTGGAAGGCAGTGACAGTCAGAGTTTAAATATTTATCAGGTATCAGGGCTACAGAAACTTCAGTCTAAGGTGTCAGTGTAGGCAGGATGATGAATGAGAAAAAAAAAGAGACCAATAGATTTTGCATAATAAATGGTTATTTTTAGTGACTTCTGGTAGAGGAGTATGGACAACTGATCTTGAAGATATAAGCCAAACTTCAAAAGTTAAGGAGAGGATAGAGATGTAATAAATCTATCAGGAATGGACTAGTTGTTAGAGACATCAGTAGTTAAGATAAGGATAGAAACAGTAAAACATTTTATGTTTGGCATTGTATTGGAAGTTTGAAAGATAAAAATACTGAAGATAGAAGACAAGATGCCTGTTCTCATTAAACTTGTAGAGACATCAGTAGTTAAGATAAGGATAGAAACAGTAAAACATTTTATGTTTGGCATTGTACTGGAAGTTTGAAAGATAAATATACTGAAGATAGAAGACAAGATGCCTTTTCTCATTAAACTTAAGACTGTCTATAAAGCTATAAAACAAATATACTCAAAACAAGAGAAGAATAAATAGAGAAGTAATTATTAAGTAATTATTATAAAGATATTTAAAGTCTCATAACATTCAGGAACCAAGCTAAGCTGTTTTGTTTCAGATAATAACTCAACTTTAACATTTATGCTAAGAAATACTTTTGAGATCCTTTTATCAGGGAAAAAAATACAGAAACTTTTTAGAGGGCATTACTTAAAATCATTATCCAAGTTCATTTATCTAAAAAATTCAGAACCTTTATGGTGTGACTACTCTTAACGCAAAGAATGATATTCTGCTATGTGCTATCAGGAGAAAAAAGGCAAGAAAGAAAAAAGGTTTGGAGCAGACATGTGCAAACTATACACGGGCAATACAAAAGGTGCTATAAATGAAAATAAGTACAAGACTTGTGGGGTCAATTTCTGCTCCAGAGAACTGGCAAAATCGTCACAATGAAGGTGATATAATTTACATTTTAAACTCATAAGATTATCTCAAATTCATTTCTTATGAACCCATATTCACCTGTGACTTCAGTTTCTCCCTTTCAGTGGCATCTCTCAGTTGTTGAATTCCAAACTTAATTTTTTGGATTTCTTGATTAATTGTGGTTACTCGCTCACAGACAACACCTCTTTTTTCTTGAACTTTATTGCAATCCCTAGAAGAAAATAGAGACAGCTAATATATAACCCTCTTAAGTATGTGAAAAGGCAAATACTTAATTCTTATTTTGACTCCGAAGTGATCATGTTTCAGTATTTGTTTGACAAACCTAAAACTCTTCTTAAGACAAAAGCAAACAGATGAAAACCCCAAAGTGTGGTGCTACAGTCATGTCACAGCATACAGTGAGCTCTTTCACCCAAAAACTACTGGAGATTTTCAGTTACATTTCCCCAGTTGTACATACTTATGTACTGTTGGTGGGAATATGAATCAGTACAACTTTTCTGCAAGACAGTTTGGCAACAAATACAAAATCCTTAGGTTCTTCCCTTTTTCTTCATCTACATGAAGTGCAAAAGAAATACTCAGACGATCCCTAATACAACTTTTGGGGACTGAAGGAATCGACATCATAGACATGTAGGGCATGTATTCTAAAAACACATTCTTTGAACTGGTGAGGAAAAGACCCAACAATTGAAATATCCCAACATAATGGCTTAAAAAAAAATGTTTAGCAAAGTATTAAATTGAACTGGTGAGGAAAAGACCCAACAATTGAAATATCCCAACATAATGGCTTAAAAAAAAAAAAATGTTTAGCAAAGTATTAATTCTTACCTGAATAAAAAATAAGACTTTCCCTCAAAACACAGATGCTATAACTCTACAGAACAGCTGGACTATGGTAAACCAGCTGATTCATTCTAATGCAACTCAAGGCCACTGTCTCTAAAGTACACTGAAATAATAAATAGTGGCACCAGAACCTTTTGAAGAATTATACAAAGGAATTGGAATTGTGGTGTCTAGGGGGAAAAAAAAACAAACTGGTAGCTAAAACATCTCTAAAATCTAGACAAAGCTTTATAAGTTTTATAATTAACTCATCTGTTTTAGCCACTTAAAGGCGGAATACCTTTTTGAAAATACAGTAGTTTTGAAATCCTAGGGAAAAAAATGTATTAGCTTTTCCTAATTACTTTCTAATACACTAAAATTGAAAATAACTTCATACTCAATTACTGTGCGTTTGTATTGCTTAACATCCTCATGCTTCTTATTTATTTTGAATTGTGCTGTGGCGAGTTTTTCTTTCTTCACAATCATCAGTCTTTTGAAGGAATTTTCTTCAGTCTTCAATTTCTTTAGTTCTGACTCATCACTCTCAATTTGGTCCTCCAAGTTCAGGCTCTGTATTTTATGAGAAGTATTGAAGTCAACACAGCAAATTAGGATTTATAAACAAAATGAAAGAGTATTTTCTAGGATGAGCTATAATGAAGTAAAACTGCTTAAACCCTGAAAGCCCAGCAGAAAAATGCAGGCTGAACAAAGGAGATTAACAGGAGGGCACTAGGGGCTGAGAAAGAACATGGCAATTTGAAAGGTGTTTTTTATGTTATTTTATCAGTGATGACTGGAATAGAGGGACACATTAAGATCGGCTAAGAGGCTAGAGTTGAGGGGGTTAGATCCTGAACTAAGGGAGTAGAAATAAAGAGAAAAGGAAAAACCTTAGAACCAATTAAAAGCAGTAGATTTCAATCTTTTTGGGTCATTCTTGATGGCAATTAAGGGACTATGTAGTTGGGGAAAGAATACCTCAGGCAGTCTCTACTACTACTTCTAACCAAAAAAAGAGTCTATCTACTGCTGCTCTAAAAAACCAATCATTTATCAAATGTAATGTAAGTGATCCTGGGACAATGTGGATTAAGATGATAAAATTAAGAAGTGAAAAAGGATTTTCAAGCTTCTAACCTGAGAAACTTCAATGACAACATTAGCCGTCATTCTTCAGGGCAGAGACTGTGTCATAAACTTTAAATCTCTTTATAGGTCCTAAGTACAGTGCTGGGCACTAAGTTGAAACTTTATGCTTACTGACAACAAGATCATTTCATTTCCAACTGCTAGAACAAACTTAAAATTCCATTATTATTTTCCAAAATATACACGGCAACATATTGTGTTAGTTAATTTATTAATTAATTTAACCTGAAGTTTAAAATGGGCCTTGCTACTGCTATGCTTAAAAAGAAAAGTATCTTACTCCCTAGCATACATTGCCACACCTATTATACTGTAGAATGATCCTGCTTTTCTTTAGGAAAATAGTAACAAAAAGTGAAAGTAAAATCCAGGGAGCTGTAGTAAGCTATTACATAATAAAGACATGAAAATTCCACATAACACAAACCTCCTTTAAGATACTGGTTATTTTTTCCCTATTATCTGCAAGGTCCTGTATTTTCTTTTGATATAACTGCACCTCCAGCTGACATGAAGGCAGGCAGTCAACCGAGTCCCCATAGAGTTCGTACTTCTCCATCACTTCTTGCTTTAAAAGAGAAAAATTTAGAGACCACAGTTTGATTTTCTCCTTTTTGAAACTGCAATAATGTCAATTTGTTTGCTCTTAAATGATTCCTGCACTTAATATTGAAAGCTTAAGAACAGAGAACAATTAAGTTTCTAGGTCAGTAACAAAGCACTATTACTGACATGTGTCTAAGAGCATGTAATTATGCTTCTTAATTGCCAAATATCCTCGAACAAAGGAAAACTGCCATCATTTTACTAAATCATTCGCTGAAGTACCTTAGAAAGGTTATTCATGATGATATTAAAAGAGTTCATTCTCCTAATACTCAAACTACTTCTGATTACTCCTGGGCAATCATATTACCCACTTATAATCCTCTTATTTATTTGTATAATAACTATTACTACAGCTAATTCTTTTAAAGATTAATTCCTCTTCTAAAATTACAAAATGAACATATATTTATCACAACCACTGTAACAACAAAAAGACTTCTTCCCTTTTCCCCACTATCTTACCCCTAATCCTTCATTATTAACCAGTTGGAGTTCATCTCCAGTGAAATGCCTAATAATATTGCTCATTTTTCTGTTGTCTTTTTTGTATTAATTTCTAAATACTCTTTGCATATCATGGATATAGTCCCTTTACCTGTTATATGCACTGTAAATATGTTCTAACAGGCCCACTTTTCTCTATAGCTTTTGGCTTTCCAATCTTAATTTTAAAAATCCAACCCAGTCTACAATTATATAAATGTTCTCCTAAAATTTCTAAAATTGTTAAATTTTTAAATAAAAAATTTTAATCCACATAGAATTTATTTTAATGGTGCAAGATATAAGCCCAACTCCCTTTTCTTCTAGATGAATAGTAATTGGGCCAGAACCGTTTTTTTTTTTAAAGATGACCGGTAAGGAGATCTTAACCCTTGACTTGGTGTTGTCAGCACCACGCTCACCCAGTGAGCAACCGGCCATCCCTATATGGGATCCCAACCCATGGCCTTGGTGTTACCAGCACCACACTCTCCCGAGTGAGCCACGGGCCGGGCCCAAAACCGTTTTTTAAATAAACCATCCTTTTCTCATAAGTACTCAGGTTAATTTCTGGGCTCTCATTTCTGTTCTGGTGATCTTTGTCTATTCTTATGTGATAATCTAAACAATAAGGAATGATTTAGATAACAAATTCAGAGATAAACCAGAAATGTTTCTTTAGTTAATAATTTAAAACCTTGCCTCATAAAGAATGCTAAATTATCTACTCACTTTTAATTTTCTCCAGCCCCACCTCAATCCATCTTCCACGTCAACCCATAACATTGAACATACCTTATTCCTACTACCTCACAGAATTCACATATGCAATTCCCTCTGCCTTGAATGATCTTCCATGTACAATATACTGGGATAACATGTTCATCCTTCAGATGTCAGCATAAATTTCCACTTCTTTCCCTCTTCGGCCTGATTTCCACCATGCTAAATTGGTCTCCTCTCATTACATTAGATCAAAGGATCCTATACTTGTCCTCTCTCTTTTTGGTGCTATTTTTTTAATAGACCTTAATTTTTCAAGCAGTTTTACATTCACAGCAAAATTGATCCGAATGTACAGAGATTTCTCATAATACCCCCTGCACCCTCATATGCACACCGTATACTTTTTCATAGCACATTATAGTTTCTAATTATACAATTGTAAAAGTGTTAAATACCTTTCTCCCTAGTAATAAAAAAAAAACAACTAAATCTCATCAAGGACAGCGCATGTCTGTTATCATCACCCAGAGCAAAGCCTCAAATTTATTGCGTAATTGAACAAATGTCTTGAAATTATGTTTATTTTCCCCACACCCACTGTAGAAAAGAGCTACAAATTAGAGATAAAGCCAAAAGTTTAAGAGAAAGAATAGTACAGATAATCCAGAAATCAGAAAATTAACACATGATTGAACAAGAACTTGCTGAAAAGAAAAGGTAGAAAAGCATTAAAATAAAGGAAATTCACCCTGGACTTTTTAAGCTTCTGTACCACACACACACACACACACACACACTCTTATATATGTCATTCGAGTATCTTATATCAAGAATGTATGGCTTGCGTAATTTGTCTAATTTTTTTAACTTAAAAAAAAAAAAGGTTTTTACTTTGTGATCAGTTAACTCAGAGGCCAAAACTGAACGTCTGAAATAATGCATTTCTGCTATTTCTGTATGTTCTGCTATTTTATTCTTAAAGCTCAGCAAACCATCACACTATCTTTCTTTTAATGCTCTACAAAATAAGAAATCATTTTCCTTACAACAGCATTGACTTTCATCACTTTTCATCACTTTAGAAAAAGCCTAAACTGGATATTACACTTACAAAGTTATTTTGTTTTAACCTAGATTTAAATGAGACAGAAAAAAATAATAAAATTGAGCCACAGTGAGTATTCTCAGATGAAAGCATTTGCCAATAAAAAGAACGATAGGAAAATAAGGGATATATAATATCAAAGTAAATTTCAGATGGATCTAAAGTATTAGTGTAAAATAATAAGGAAACCATAAAAATACAATGAGAAAATAGAGTATTAAAAAATAATAATGATAAATGGGACAGGCATTTCTATGTATAGAATTAAAGTACAAAACCATAAAGGCCATACTATAAATTTTACTACATAAAAACATAAACCTTCTAATAGGAAAAAATTATGAAATTGAAAGACAAATAAATAAAGAGCTAATATCCCTAATTCATGGAGTTTCTTAAAAAATAAAATAAGCAAGGTACACAAAGTAGTTTACAGAATAAAAAACAACAAATCACTGAGTAAGATGGTCAAAATCACTAGAAATAAAAAAAAAATGAGGGTTTTTTTTTCCTATTAGAGTGACAAAGATAAAAAAATAAAACTAGAAACATCCACTTTTGGCAAGGGTATAGGAAAGGAAACACTCTCATATTCTATCAGTTGGAATATGAATTAGTATCTTTCTAGAAAGTCAGTTTGGCAATGTAGGTATATTTTAAATGTGTATTTCCTTTAACCCAGAAATCCCAAATTTAGAAATTTATTCTAAGATAAAAAGCAGCCAAGTGCACAAATGTATATATGCACATGTATATATACAAATATATATATGCACAAGTGTGCAGCACACACATACATATATTTGTTTACTAATAAAAAAATTAGAAGCAATATGAAAGTTTATCAGTAGCAGACTAAAAATCTCTACATTATGGTACATACATATAATGCACAACCATATGCAGCCACTAATACAATGTGGATCTATTTGAAACTCGTTTTAACTATTTGTACTATATTGTTAACTGGGGGAATAAAAAGCAGGTTTGAGACAAAATGAGTGTAATGTTTATGTAAAATTATACATATAAATGTATGTTTGTATAGGGAATGTAAACTATAATATGTATCAGATCGTGTGGTAAGCTTTCAGGTGATTTTTACTTCATGCATTTCTCTGTTTCAATATTTTTAAATATAATAGATGACAATTTTTTAAGTTGAAAAAAGTTAAGTTAGTTTCATTTTGAGGGATAAAATAAAAGGGAGAAACACCTAACTATAACACAAACAGCTAACATGCTACTCTACACAATACATTCAACCTATAACTACCAGATGAAAGATGCTTACCAAACGCTTGGTTTTTTCTAAAATATCTGATTTCTTTTGAGAATGTCCCTCTTGCAGCACTATCTGAGGGGAAAAGCAAACAAATGTTTTAAAATGATTCAAAACAGATTTAAAGTTAGCCATCATTGCTTTCTTATAAAATAAAGGCAAGAAAGAAGAGGACCTAAATGGGTTAGACCAGATATTCTCAAAGTTGCTCTGTTCACAATGCCCCTAGGCCAAAAGAAATATCTAAGAGTTCCTTTAAAAGTAGTTAAGTTCAAATAACTGCACAAGCATTTATGTCCTAAAAATGTCATAGCCCTTTTAAAAAATACATATAAGTTGAAAGAAAAAACATTATTTTATTCTTAAATAACCACAACTACTTCCTAACTAGACGTGTGTGTGTACCCATTCTTGGGCACTGCATAAATTCAAAAATCTTGAAATCAGACTGAACATAGACATTCTCATTTCCTGTTCCACAATGATTTTCACATGGTACTTGCTTTTTATCACATCAAATGCCAAAATCTCAGCTTCACAAAGATACAAAAGGAAAGTAATGTGACCTAACACTAAAACTATGAACCACCTTGAGCTAATAGTTCAAAAATTATATGACAGATGCTGAGTACTGCAGTGTTTCCCTTGAAAATTTAAAACATCCTGAGGCACCCTTGAGAGCTTGCTGCAGTATTCAGGGTGCCACAGTGTATGGTTCGGGAACAGGAAGATTAGACATAGGAGAATCCTAAAAAATTCTATTCAACAAGACAGCACGTAACTTGGCCACACCAACAAATCATCACTGTTCTACATGATGGAGAGGAGAATATATCCCGTATATCCATTATAAGGGGCATAAATAGGCACAGCAATATATTCTGTTTCTTCAGTAATTAAAAGCCATGTGCTCTTACCCCCACTAAATGCCCTGCCACATCTGATAAAAAAAAAAAAAAAAACAGAACTTTTTAAAAAAATTTTGAGATGTCTCACAACAGATACCGATTTTTGACGAAACTCCTGATTCAGCAATTGCTGTAGCTCCCGAATATCATCTGAAAGTTGCTTGAATTCTTCTTGTTCTTCAACTGGAACAGAACTAAACACAGCAAAATAGATTAAAATAACATTTATGGAGTTCTTAACATAGAACGGCCAAAATGAAATCTTTGCCCTCCAATAACTTAGATGAAGAAACCATTTGTTTTCATGTTTCTGAATTACACCCTTTCATGTGACAGCCATTTAAAATAGATGGCCTGGCCTCTACTACAGAGAAAAAAAAAAAATTGGATCAGCTTCTTCAATTTTCTACCATCAAATAGATGCATTCATCTGAATACACATTTACCCTTTCTAACCTCACTCCTACAAGATGAACGTGGTATTCCTTTTCCTGTCTAATGCTATTTTCTCTACCTCTGCTCTGGCTCTCATTTCCTTACACCTCTTCCGTATCATCCATCCTTCTGCTCTACTCATCCTTCTTAACAGCCATCATACATGTCTCTCTCATTTGAATGTTCCCAACTTTAGCTTTTGCCAATCTTATATATTAGCCATCTGTATTAGTCTGTTTTGGGTTGCTTATAACACAACACACAGAACTGGGTAATTATAAAGAAAAACGAAATTTACTGCTTACAGTTTCTAAGCTGGGAAGTCCAAAGTCCATCTGGTGGTGGTGACAGGAACCAAGGGGTCTCACATTGCAAGATGGTGGAAGCAGAGAGCAGAGAGAACGAGAAAGACAGACTCTCCTGTTCTTTTAAAGCCCTCAGAACAACACCCTTGACCACCATTATTAATCCATTCACTACTGCACAGTCCTACAATCCAATCACCTCTTCAATACTCCACCTTTCAATTACCATAACAGGATTTCCCATGGCTAAGATTCTAATACATAAACTTGGCAGACACAATTCAAGCTTCAGTGAGTTTTGGGAGGACATAATTCAGTCCACTACACCATCTTTTTCATTTTGCTGTAAATTCCCTTTTTTTAGCCTTTGCTGATTTTTCTATTAACTGTTTTCCTATCAGTCTGTAAGAGTTCTTTGTATATTAAATATTACATGGGTTTTGTTATCAGAATTACTAATGCTCTGTGGCATATGTTGCAAATATTCTCTCTCAGCTTATCACTTTTCTTTTGAATTGGTTTGTGGTGTCTTTTATTATGCTAAACTTTCATATGTGTCTCCTATCCCCGATCTTTCCAGCTTACTGCTGCCTGTAAAGGCAGTTTTTGCCAGCAGCAGGTTAGAAAATCCCTCACTGAAATAGATAACCTCAAAGAAATCAACAAATTAGAAGGAATTTAAAAAAAAAAATCCCACTCAAAATCAATATACATAGGGAAGGCCAAGAAATCATACCTCTTGACTGATTCTTTCACCTATATGATTTACGAGTCAAAACCAAAAACAAATAATGCTGTTGTAGTAGTAAAAAATTTAACAATTAACTGATCTGAATGAAGAAAGAGTCCAGACAGTTAGCTCATCTACATCAGAAAAATACTCTAGATATAATTTAGTTGAGTGTATTAATAGCTTTAAACAAGTCAGGCTAACATACGAACAAGAAAGAGGCCAGAGAATATATTATATAATTAAGAGAAGGAAGAAAAACTAGTTTTTCTTTTTTTAGAGAAGAAAAACTTAAATATTCTGCTATTTATTAAGGAAGATAAAAGAGACTTAAGATCTATTTTAGGAACGTAAAATATTACTTACAATTCAAATTGCATTTTGAAATTGCATTTATTTTATTTGTATATCTCTCACTTACTCAAGTCTTTCCAATTTCATTAATGCCTCCTGGTGTGCAGTGTTTAACTGTTGCATTTTGTCCGCAGAGGATTTCTATTAAAGCAATTTTAATAATCTCATATTAGCTTTTTCAACATAATCAGTGATTTTTTTGAAAAAAAATCTACCAGTACAGACTACAAAGTGTTTACTCACTCTGCAATTTTCACCATCAGAAATAAGAAATTAAAGAGTTAGGCACTCATGACAAATGAATTAAGAATTTCTTTACTTAATCAACACAAATGTTCTTACAATAGTTAGGCACTGTGCTAGGTTGCTGGGAATTCCCAAGAAGACTAACTTATAGTTACTGAACTTAAATAGCTCAGTCTCCTTGAAGAGTCAGATACATGAGTCTACAAAACAGCTTATTACAGTACTGAATATAACAGGAACAAAGAAAAGTGACAGCTAACTAAACCTGGTTATTGGCTGGGGAGGACAGTCATAGAGGGCTTCACAGAGGTGACAGATGTCTTTTTATTGTCATAAAAAATGTGTCTTAAGAGATTTAACCAAGCAAAATTGGGTGTGTTTGTGTACGTGCTGGCAGATGCATGTAAGCTTTGGAGAGTATGAGATGTTTAGGAGGTATAAGCTTAGCATGATTTGTGGAAAGAAACATTTATCTATTAGCTAAGTGTAGCTGGAGCTTAAAGTCTAATTGTCCGGTCTTATTCTGCTGCTCTTCTAAGAGTATGGTACCCCAAAACTGAAGACAAATGGAAACAAGTCACACAGATGACCCATAATCTTCCCAAATTCTCTAAATTGTTCAAAGAAGAAAAATGAGTTTCTATCTGTTAAAGTGACTACCTGGGACTCAATCCTATAAAGCATGATAAACAACAACACAAACAGTCCAATTAAGCCATTATTTAAATGAAAATAATAAACCTCAAGTTAAGACAAATATAAACTTCAAATATCTCAGTTATTTAAAGAACACTATCCATGCAAACTTCAAAAAAATATATATCAATATTCTCTTCCTTAACACTTCCTAATATAGGAAAAGAAGCCCCAGCTATAAGATTAAAACAAACAACCCAGCCTCTCCCTAATATCACCAAATACCAAAGAAAATCTCATTCTGAGATACATTTTCCAGTAACTACAATCTGCAACTTTATATAAATACAAAAATTAATTAGACTCTAAAGACCATACAGTAATTTGATATCTGTAACAAACTCAAAACACTGATAATTCATAAATAACATTATGGATCTGGTATGTGACCTCAAAGTATATTTAAATCTTACATATTGCCAAAGAAATTCCATATATGTTTCACGGCATGCTTCTCTGAAGTGAATAAAGTTGATAATGCCACTTAAAAACCGACTTGTCCGCTTTGCTTCTAAAATAGAAAGCAAAACTCTTTAAATAAATCTTTGAAACAACATAATTATAAAAATGAAAATTCATCCTCTCCACCATTTACTCTTCTCATAGTGCATAAAATAAAACTATGTATGCTGTAACAAAGGTGCAGAAAATACGGTCTAACTTAAAGGTCAGAATTATCTTTGAATTAATAACTAAAAAAAAAAAAAATAAAGCAAAATACTTTTGACCACAAGGGAATAAAAGGGACCAGATTTACCCTCCTGTCTTAAACAACTAGAACAACAGACAAAACATATAAAGCAACACATTTTAGACACAGGAAAACAGGCAATGCAGGACAGCAGTGCCCAAGAAAAACAAATAAGGTAAACCATATAAATATACCAGTTTCAGACTTGCAGAGTTTTCAGGCTGTACCACAGACAGCAAGAACACAAACAAAACTCAGGAGTCTTGCTGAGTCAAGAAGATAGAGTTTGGAGATGCCAAAGCAACTAGAATTTATGGGATTAAGTACTTTAGAGAAGGCAGCTGCAGAAAGAAAAGAGTGCTAGAGGTCTGTAGAGGAGTCTCTTCAAGTTCTCAGCTGACTGCTAATTGGTACGTGCATATGAAGAAATTACTAAGGCCAGGAAAATAACCAGATATATTTAAAGGAATAAAATAAATAAATAAATAAAAATAAATCCAACACCCAGCAATGTCTGGCATCTAATAAAAATGACCAGACATGTAAAGGAAGAGGACAATATGATCCACAACAAGAAAGAAAATCAGTCAATAGAAATATGCCCAGAAATAACACAGATAATAAATTTAATAAACAAGGATATGAAAACACTTTATAAATATATTCCATTTGTTCACAAAGGCAGAAAAAAGCATTATAAAGAGAAAAGAAAAGGTTTCTTAAAGACCTAAATCAAACTTTTAGAGGTGAAAAATAAAATATATGAAATAAAACTACAATGGATAGGATTAACAGCAGATTAGACTGAAACATGAAAGGATAAATGAAACTGAAGCCACAGCAATAGAAGTTAGCTAAAATAAAGGTTAGAGAAGAAAAAAAAAAAAGAAGAAAACATTTATGAGCTGAGGGACAATATCAGACAATATAACAAATATGCAATTGGTATCCTACAAAAAGGAGGGGAAGAAAAAAACTTTACAGAATAGCTGAATACGTCCCAAGTTTTATAAAAACTGTAAACATATCCAAGGAAGTAAGCAAATGTAAGCAGGAAAAAAACAAACCTAGTAAAACAACAAAACAGAAAACTCCCAAAAAGGCACATTAAAATCAAACAACTAAAAACTAGTGGTAAAGAGAAAAATCCTAAAAGCAGCTGAAAAGAAAGAAAAAAAAGGTGGGGAAAAGAACCCTTATGGAGGAACGAAGATAAAAACAGCAACAGACTTATCAGAAACAATGACAGCCAGAAGACAATGAATTAATATCTTTAAAGCACTGAAAAAACTGTCAAGTTGGAATCCTATACTGTAAAACAAAAAAACTTTCAAAAAAAAAAAAGTGAAATAAAAGCTTTTTATCAGTACAAGGAATGTTAAATGAAATCCTTCAGATGTAAGGAAAATTATAGCAGATAGAAATTTGGAGGGCTGCTGGTTAGCTCAGTTGGTTAGAGTGTGTGGCCTTGTAACATCAAAGTCAAGGGTTTGGTTCCCCACACCAGCCAGCTGCCAAAACAACAACAACAAAAAACATTTGATGTACTTAAAAGAATGTGTTAATATAGAAGATATTTTTCCTCATTTAAAAAGTCCCTTTTAAAGGCAATTAACTATTTGAAGCAAATCAATAACAATGTATCAAGGTGTTTATGATATCTGTAAAAGTAAAATTTATGACAACAGCACAAAGGACAGGAGTGGGGAAAATGTAAGACTGTTTTAAGGTATAATATATTTAAACATAGACAATAATGTGTTAAAGACATATACATATACAATAAACCCTGGAGCAAATACCAGAAACAAAGAGGTATAGTTTCTAAGCCAATAATGGAAATAAGATACAATAATATATCTTCTCTCTGTACATTATTATGAAATGGAGAAACAAGAAATAAAGAACAGGACAAAGAGAAAACAGAAAGGATACAGGTGGATTTAAACCCAACTATATCAATAACATTAAATGTAAATGGGCTAAACATTCCTATTAAAAGACAGAGGTAGTGAGGTTGAATAAAAAAAGCAAGACCCAACTATATGCTGTCTATGAGAAACCCATTTCAAATACAAAGATACTGACAGATTAAAAGTAAAAGGATGATATATCATGGTAATACAAATAAAAAAAAAAAAGCTGACATGGCCATATTAACATTAAACAAAGTATCTTTCAGAGCAAAGAATATGTCATCAAGAGGACATAATTCTAAATGTGTATGCCTATAAAACTAGACCTTCAAGGTACAGGAAATAAAAATTAAAAGAACAGGAAAACAGACAAATCCAAAATCACAGCTGAAGACTTCAACACCCCTCAACAGAACAATTAGCAGAAAATCTATAAGGATCAAGAGGCCTGAACAACACTATGAACCTGGCTTTGTTTTCAAATGATATGATTGTTGATATAGAAAATCCTAAGGAAGTCTTCTAGAATAACTGATTTTACCAAAGTCAATATATAAAAATCATTAACAATGACCAATCAGTAATTAAAATTTTTTTTAAAATTTACAAAATCACTAGAACTCGTCTTCTAGAATAACTGATTTTACCAAAGTCAATATATAAAAATCATTAACAATGACCAATCTGTAATTAAAAATTTTTTTTAAATTTACAAAATCACTAGAACTCTGAAATACTTAGGGATAAACTTAACAAAATGCATACAAGACCTGTACTCTGAAATTCATAAAACATTGTTGTGAGAAATTAAAGATAACCTAAATAAATGTAGAAATATAACATGCGCATGGATCAGAAAACCCAATATTATTAAACTGTTAAGTATCCCCACAAATGAAATATACACTCAAAGTAATCCCAGTAGGCTTTTTTGGGGGGTGGGGGAGGAAGTGACAAACTGAAAATTCTAAAATATATATGGAAATACAAGGGACCAGAATAGTCAAAAACAATTTTGAAGAAGATGAACAAAATTGGAGGACTAACACCGGCTGATTTCAAGACTTACTGTAAAGCTAAAGTAATCAAGGTAGTGTGCTTGGCATAAAGACAGACATGTAGATCAACAGAGTAGAAGAGCAAGCCCAGAAGTACTCATATATATATATATATACATATACATATGGTCAATTGAATTTTTTTAATAGACTTTATTTTTTAGAGCAGTTTTAGGTTCACAGCAACCCCGAGCAGGTAATAGGTAGTTCCCATCTTCCCTATAACACACAGCCTCCTCTACTAACACACATATATAGCCTCCTCTACCAACATCCCCCACCTGGGTGGTACATTTGTTACAACTGATGACACATCATCACCCAAAATCCATAATTTACACTGGGGTTTACTCTTGCGCACTCTGTTGGTTTGGACGGATATAAAATGACATATATCCATCATTACAGATACAGAGTAGTTTCACACAACTAAAAATCCTCTGTGACTGCCTATTCATCCTTCCCTCCCCCAAACCCCTGGCAGCCACTGATTTTTTTTTTTATTGTCTCCATGGTTTTGCCTTTTCCAGAATGTCTTATAATTGTATAGCCATTTCAGACTGGCTTCTTTCACTTAGTAATATGCATTCAAGATTCTACCATGTCTTCCCATGGCTTGATAGCTCATTTCCTTTTAGTGCTGATTAATGGTCCATAGTCTGTATGTACCACAGTTTATTCATCCATTCACCTACTGAAGGACATCTTAGTTACCTCTATGTTTTGATAACTGTAAATAAAGCTATATATATCTGTGTGCAGGTTTGTGGGAGAACAGTTTTCAACTCATGGTAAATACCAAGGAGCACACAATTGCTGACTGTATAGAGAGAGTATCTTAGTTTTGTTAGAAACTGCCAAACTGTCTTTTAAAGTGGCTGTAAAATGCTGGCCAGTTAGCTCAGTTGGTAAGAGCACACTGCTGATAACACCAAGGTCAAGGATTTGGATCCCCCTACCATCCAGCCACCAAAAAAAAAAAAAAAAAAACCAACAAAAAATCCAGTCTAAAATGACTATACCATTTTTGCAATCCTACCAGCAAAGAGTGAAAGTTCCTATTGCTCCATATCTTCTTCAGCATTTGGTATTGTGTTTTGGATTTTTCCCATTCTAACAGGTGTATAGTGGTTGGCCAGTTGGCAATTTTTGAAAAATGTGCCAAGGTAATTCAATGGTGAAAGGACAATCTTCTCCCAAAATGGTGCTAGAATAATTTGATAGGCATATGCAAAGAAAAAACTGAACCTTGACCTTTACCTCAAACCGTATATAAGAATTCAAACATTAAACAATAAAAGCTAAAACTATAATACTCCTGAAGCAAAATACAGGAGCGAATCTTAGCATCCTTGAATTAGGCCAAGATTTCTTAGTAGGACACAAAAAAATGGTTTTATGAATCACAAAAGAAAAAAGAAGATCACATAGAATCTCAAAATTGAAATTTATTTTGTTCTTCAAAAGTCACTGTTATGAAATTGAAAAGGCAAGTAACAGACTGGGAGAAAATATTAGCATAAAATATATCCAATAAACATCTTGTTTCCAAAATATGTAAATAAGGCTTATAACTCAGTAAGAAAAATAATTCAATTTAAAAAACGGGCAAATGATTCGAACAAAATCTTCAACAAGGAATATATACAGATAGAAAATAAGCATATGACAATATGCACATTGCTATTAGTCATCAGGGAAATGCAAATTAAAACCATGAGATACTACTACACACCCATTAGAATGGCTAAAATTAAAAACTTACAATACCAAATCCAGAACAGATGGAGGGCAACTAAAACTATCATATATTGCCGGTGGTGATGCAGCCACTTCAGAAAAGTTTGTCAGTTTCATAAAGTTAAGCATGTATTTAACATATGAATCAGTATTTCTACTCCTAGGTATTTACCTAGAGAAAACATACGCATACAAAGACTTGTATGTTAATGTTCACAGCAGCTTTGTTCATAGTGGCCGAATATTAGAAATAATTCAAATATCTAACAACTGGTCAATGAATAAATTGTGGTTATACTTACAACAGAATATTACAAAATAAAAAGAAACAAAATACTACTAAATGTAATTGATGGATTTTGGACATGACCCGTGCCACTGTGCACACAATAAGCACAAAATAGCCGCTGGCCTTGTCTTCCACTCCAGCACCAAACCCCTCCCCCCTTGCCTTTACAAAAGCCTCGTGACTTAAACAGAAACCCTTTTGCTTCTGCAAGGGCGCAATTCTTCACCCTGGTTGCATAGCTTCCACATTAGCATAATGCCCCTCCTTGATTGTATCAGCCAGCCCTTGGAGCCCTATATAAGCTCTCTCACCCCCAAGCCTGGTGCTGTCCTCCATTTTGAGGGCAGCCTGGCAGATTATTTTCCTTTAATAAAGCTTGAACGGTATCCGGCATCTCGGCTCACTTTCTTAAGTAATAACATGGATAAATCTCAAAAGTTCTTTATGCTTAAAGAAGCCAGATATAAAAGATTACAGACTATATGATTTCATTTATATAAAATTCTAGAAAAGTCAAAACTGTACTGATAGAAAGCAGATCAGTGGTTGCCCGGAAATGGGGGAGGCCAAAAAGAGACTGACTGCAAAGGGACATGAAGAAACTTTGGGGGGTCATGGAAATGTTTTATACATGATTGTGGCAGTAGTTAAACTCTATACATTTGTTAAAATTCATCCATTTACATTTAAAATTAGTGAACTTTGTGTGTAAATTATATGTCAAAAAAGTAAGAGATCCAAAAGAGGATGAAAACCATATTTTTAAACAGCACACCACGGGCCGGCCCGGTGGCGCACTGCTACAGTGCGCCGCTTGGGAGCGCGGAGGCGCTCCTGCCGAGGGTTCGGGTCCCACATACACACCGCCTTCCGCC